CTCCTCCTCCTCCTCCTCCTCCTCCTCCTCCTCCTCCTCCTCCTCCTCCTCCTCCTCCTCCTCCTCCTTTTCCACCCTTCCCCTGCTGCCTCTCCTCCTTCTTTCTCCTTCTTCCAGGAGCACTTAACCACTGATCCACATCCCCAGCCCTTTTTATTTTACTTTTTTTATTTTGAGACAGTGTCTCACTAAGTTGCTTAGGACCTTGCTAAGTTGCTGAAGCTGGCTTTGAACTTGCAATCCTCCTGCCTCAGCCTCCCAAGTCTCTGGGATTACAGGTATGTGCCACTACACCTAGCACTTTGTTTATCTCTTGACAGCATGCAAACCCATCTTTAAAATGCATGCTAATACTAAAATGTCTTTATTTACTGTTCCAATAAATATTGCCTCCTATTTCAGTGACTTATCCCATATTAAATACTTCCATGATTGAGCCTAAGAAACTGTTGATAATTATAGTTATTAATAATTTAAAGGCAATGTTGTTTCTTATTTCCTTTAAAACCATATAGGTAACAGACGTTGAGCTCTACCTGATCAAGAGCCAAAATTAAATTGTCAATAGTTAATAGCTTTTGGGTTGATGACAGAGTATTCCAATTCAGTTGATAGTTGTGTTTCTGAACATTACTCAAAAGTGACGCTTTACAAGTATGAGAGCTTTCTTTATTTATTTGATTATACACACAAAGTTATGAGGAGTTGTCTCAAACTCTCCAAACTATGTATACAGCAAAGACAAAATTATTTTGTGTATATATGAGTGGAAATGAAAATTACTCAGTCTTCGAACCCAAATGTAGCATTGTCAAGTTTTTGGTATTTTTAAATAAATTGCCACTGGGTTAGCTAAGGTGATCTCAGAATTTTATTTTAGTCAAATGATCCACACAAGTTGCTTTTTACTTTTAATTCAATGGAAATTACTTGATTTCACCCAGGCACTTTGAATACCCCATTAGAAACAAGACTTGAATCACTTTTCTTTTGGGAGGGGGGGTAGGAGGATACCGGGGATTGAACTCAGGGGCACTCAACCACTGAGTCACATCCCAGCCCTATTTTGTATTTTATTTAGAGACAGGGTCTCAATGAGTTGCCTAACACCTCGCTTTTGCTGAGGCTGGCTTTGAACTCACAATCCTCCAGCCTCTGCCTCCCGAGCTGCTGGGATTACAGGCATACGCCACTTTTCTTAGTCAATTTGTGATGCACACTCTGCAGTAAACTTGACTCAGCATAATCTATAAAAGTGCTCCCATGGCATGTTTCTATGAGAAAACTAACTATATTTGTCTACGGTTTTTGCAACTTTATGGGAACAGAGTAATGAGATTAAAAAAATAACTATCATATGGAATAAAATGTGAATGGGTGTATTGTAGATTTTCTATAGTTACTGTAAATGTAAAAAAAAAAAAGTTTAAATGGTAGAATGTTTGTGACTAGAAAAATATAAAGTACCAATATTTCTCTTTAAAGTCTTCCACATACTCTTCTTCCCTTGTGGGACCTGGGGACTTAAGTACCCCAAACACAGCCTCCCAAACCATCCATGCTGTGGTCCCGTTCACTTCTTCCCACCTTTTCTTTTTCTTTTACTTCTTCGTCACTGAATTAGAAGGCAATATTATTGGAACAGTAAATAAAGACATTTTAGTATTAACATGTATTCTTAAAATGAGTTTCCATGTTGTTAAGAGATGAACAAAGTGCTAGGTGTAGTGGCACATGCCTGTAATCCCAGAGACTTGGGAGTCTGAGGCAGGAGGATTGCAAGTTCAAAGCCAGCTTCAGCAACTCATCAAGGCCTTTCTTTTTTTTTTTTTTCTTTATTTTTTTTTTATCTTTTCTTTTTCTCTTAGAGACTCCAGCATCAAGCTTCTCTTCCCTAAACCCCTTCACTTAATATTTCCTAATTAACCCACTTTTCAGTAACTCTCCTCCCTATCAGCTGAATTCTAGAATTCTAGCTTCCTACTTTGCCTCAGATCTGGAGAAAGTCCAGGCTTCTTGCCAGCCCACGACCCTTTTTAGATCAGTCGATCCAACCCAAAGGCTTCTGATGAAGAGCAGAGTATCCCACTTCCTTTTATTTCCCATGGCCTAATTTTACTAATTGATATATTCTGACCTATCTTTTCGGACCTATTATTTCCTACCTAGATTCCTAGAGGCCATATGAAAATGAACCTCTGTAAACTTATTTGCTCCCTGGATAAATTAAGAAAAGTTAACCTACAAAAACTTTTAAATGGAGCTGGGCACCATGGTGCAAGCCTGTAATCCCAGTGGCTGAGAAGGCTAAGATAATAGGATTGTGAGTTCAAAGTCAGCCTCAGCAATGGTGAGACGCTAAGCAACTCAGTGAGATTCTGTCTAGGGTTGGGGATGTGGCTCTGTGGTTGAGTGCCCCAGAGTTCAATCCTCAGTACAAAAAAAAAAAAAAAAAAAAAAAAAACACTTTTAACTGGGCATGGTGTATGGCTGTAAATCCAACAACTGGGGAGGCTAAGACAGGAAGATTGTAAATTTGAGACCAGCTTCAGCAATTTAGTGAGGCCCTCAGCAACTTAGTGAGACCTGTCTGAAAATAAAAACTGAAAAGGGCTGGGGATGTGGCTCAGTGGTAAATCATGCCTGGGTTCAATCCTCAGCACCAAAAATAATAATAATAATTTGTAGCATTTGATTCCAAACTAGAAGGAGAATGTAGAGTAACTTCTAAAGAAAACCTAATAACACTTGACTATTATGGTCATATGAATCATTTAAATGAAAACTGTTATTTCTCTGATTTGACAATGTATTTAAATTTTGTTCATATTACAGTGGAAATTTAAATAATAAAAAGGGGAAAAGTAGATAATTTAACATGTAGACCATTTAAATATGAAATTAATTAGAACATATCAGAACTATAAAAGTAAATAAATTACTGAATATGACAATATATGGTTATGAAAGTATCATATTTAGCAAATGCTGAATGTATTATAAAACAACAGACAATGAGGAGGTACATAAATGAAAATATCTCAAGAAAAGCTCAGATAATGGCTAAGTTTATTCAATAACGATAAGAAAAGGAAAGGGCTAAAGAAATAAAAATAAAAAGACTTTAGAAATCTATGTGTTTACCCAAGAATTTAAGGAAAGTGCTTGCTTGTCAAAAAGGGAAGAGACTTCTTTCCATTTTTCTATTAAAAAAAAAAAAATCAAGAAACCCTTCTGCCACCCCACCCCTCATCCCCCAGGTACTGGGAATTGAACCCAGGGTGCTCTACCACTGAGCTATATCCCCAGTCCTTTTTATTTTTTGAGACAGGGTCTTGCCAAATTGTCAAGTCTGTCCTCAAATGTGTGATCCTCCTGCCTCAGCTTCCAGAGTTGCTGAGATTATAAGCATGTGCCACTGTGCCTGACTCAAGAAACTTTTGAATAATCAAAGACCACACAAAAAGAAATGATAATGTTTAAGGAAATTATAAGGTTTTAAGGAGATAGAAATGCTAATTACCCTGATTTGATGATTACATATTGCATAAATATATCAAAATTATCACAGCATACCTCATAAATATGTACAATTTTGTGTCAATTACAAATAAAAGGACCAAACACAATCTAGCCTTTCATTCCAATTACTCAAGTGTTATGGAGATGAATCTCTAGTGAACAGCTGTGCCTTTGATTTTAGTGATTAAATTGGAGTTGTTATCAGGCAGAACCACCCTGCCCAGAAGAGTGCGGACCATTAAGAGAAGAAGCCAAAGTAATCCATCATGGATGCAGCCTTACAATGTATATAAACAGCTATGTGGGGAAGGCATTTGGGGGCACATGTCCAGTTATATTCTGCTGAATCATATGATGGTCCCCAAAAATAAAAGGAAAGAAGCATTGGTGATAATTATTCATCTAACAGTAACATTTGTTAAATTCTGTATCTTTAATTTACAATTAAATCTATATTTTATATGACAAT